CCCTCTTTTTATACAGCCCTACCTCCGGTTTCCCAGTCCCTGGGAGCTTACAGCTCTCTAGTGGTGAAGTATTTCTGATTGATAAATCATTTACTTAACTGTTACAGACTCCTGTTGTTGAGCAGGAAGAACATGAAATCAAACGAGCGATTTTGAAATCTGTGATGAATTATTGTTCTTGTAAAGATCTTACCTCGTCAGGTGTGAGGGACATACCATCCTACCAGCTGTAGTCACTGAGGTACTACAGTGCTCCCCCTTCAGTCGAGTTGAGGGAATGGGCTGCAGGAAAGAAGCTTGACCCTCTCTTATTTACCTTCTTAGTGCCTGAGAGTGTTCTAAATCAGGGCAAATACATATTTGGGCTCTTTCAAAGGCCTGAGACTATAGGAAAAAATGGAATAACTGGAAGCAAAGGTAAAGACTAGCTATTTAAAACTCAGGCAGAAACTAGCTGGTTTTTAAAAAACTTCACCCCCTTTAAAAAAAAAAACGAAAAAATTATAATAGCATTAAATTTCAAGAAGTTGAGGTTAACTTAAATATTCAAATCGTCTGAAATTAAAATTCATCTAAACCTAAGATCTTACTGAAAAATTTCTAGAGAAAAGGTAGGAAGCTTGACAAGTTAGAGGCACAGTCAAAAGCGATTTTATTACTATAGTTTAAAGTTAGCTATTACAACAAGGCCATTTAATGACACTTGGACAAAGGTTAGTATTAATGTGAAGGTTTTTAGATCCAAGTGAAGCTTGGTCCAGTTGCCTTCCAAAACATCTCAGATTCAGAATTTTATTTATTTATTTATTTATTTTTAAAGATTTTATTTATTTATTTGACAGATCACAAGCAGGCAGAGAGGCAGGCAGAGAGAGAGGAGGAAGCAGGCTCCCCGCCGAGCAGAGAGCTCGATGTAGGGCTCGATCCCAGGACCCTGAGATCATGACCCGAGCTGAAGGCAGCAGCTTAACCCACTGAGCCACCCAGGCGCACCCAGATTCAGAATTTTAGAAACAACTCCGTCTGTAAGAAAAGGAACTCATGAGACACATACCTATTGTAACAATCTCCAGCCCCCTGCTTCATTCCCTATGTTCCTGTCTCAGCAAATGAAGCTGCCCAGGAAGAAAACCCAGGAAGCATTCTTGATGCTTTTTCTCTCCCCTCATTTTTGCTCAGAAAAACCAGAAGAGCATGAAATGTGATCCCTGCCTGTTCCTTACATCTCAAGTAGCTCAGGTAGCTTAACATTTGCTTGGAAAGCTAAGACAAAGACAAGTCAGTAAAAGAGACAAGATACAAGATGTATAGAATAAATATACATGATTCCCTATGATTGCCAATGTAGTTTGCAAACCACTATGGCGTAGGATTTCAGGAAAAGGTGCAGTCACTCCAGGTGGAGTTTGTTTTGAGGTGGCCCAGGACCTAACTGATGAAGAGCTCCCTACTTCTTGCTCTGATGACCTGTGGCTCACCAGTATGTTCTCCCTGATCCTTTTTGCCAGGAAAACGCACCTACAAATGACCCTTTGTTAATGTCTCTTTCTTTTACACAAGGTTGCCATTTGCAGTTTTAATCTTCTTGTCTCTTGGACTCCCTCTCTGATGCTGTTTTTCAGCACCCGAATGCTATACCGCCGTTCTAGGTTTGGTGGGTGCTGATGTTTCTGCAGTGCGTGTGCCTTGGTTGTGAAGACCCCATTTCCCCTTTCCGTAGTGCTGTGAAACAGATTAATACCTACCTGTAGTTGTCTGTTCTGTCTTCTGGGACTAGCTCAGCCATATTGCCACAACCATTGCTTCAGGGGTGGTTTCATGGCCCTTTGGAAATTTTACTTAGTTGAGGCTAATTAAAATACTGAAGCACTATTAAATTATTAAAATATAGAACAGTAGCACATGTCTCACGACCATAAAAGAGGTTAGATCTCACCTGTGGATTCATTATTACTCAGTTTTTTATTCCGTGTGAGCATCACTTTAGAAGAAAGTACTTTCTCAGTTTCTTTCAGAGCATTCTGTCCTCTTATTGGGTATACATCTTGATTTCATTAATCTGTAAGCATATTGTTAACCCCAAATACTAAAACCTACTTTCCAGAGCAAAGCCATAGGCATGGAGCAGTGTCCAGATTTTCACACTTTGGTGATAATTGTGCTTCTTAAGTTAGAGGGAAACATTTATCTCTAGTTTTTTTCTGCAGTAAGATACCAGAATATTTCTTTATCTTTTTTGTAAACCTTGATCAACCTTTTTTACCTTTTTTCATGTATTGCTAACATGTACTTTTTTGATGCATTGAAAAGGCAGTGATATCCCACTTTATTTATAGTCACCTCTCTCAGAGACATCAGGAACACCTCCAAAAACCAAAAACTGAGAAATAAAGGGCATTGAGCAGTTGAAATTGTTAGAAAATCCATGTACTTTACTCATAAAACTGTTCCTGAAGCCTCCATTCAGAATCTTTTTTACCTAAAGTACCAGTCTAGTACTTGAAGTAAGGCTCCTAAACACAGCTGCTATTTTGCAGCCAATTATAAGAAAGATTTTAATAACATACAGACTGCCAGTGTGACTTTTTTGTATTAAGGGAGTCAGATTTACTTAATCGAATAGCCCCCAAAGCTATCTATATATTTTAGTTCAGTATAATAAAACTAACAGCTATGGCACATGTAGGTGGCTCAGTAGGTTAAGCATCCAAGTTTTGATTTCAGCTCAGGTCATGATCTCGGGTTATGAGGTCAAGCCCTGTGTCCAGCTCCACACTGGGCGTGGAACCTACTTAAGATTCTCTCTCGGGGTGCCTGGGTGGCTCAGTTGTTAAGCGTCTGCCTTCAGCTCGGTTCATGATCCCAGGGTCCTGGAATCGAGTCCCATATCAGGCTCCCTGCTCAGCGGGAGGCCTGCCTCTCCCTCTCCCTCTCCCACTCCCCTTGCCTGTGTTCCCTCTCTCACTTCTCTCTCTCTGTTAAATAAATAAAATCTTTAAAAAAAAAAAAAAAGATTCTCTCCCACTGCCCCTCTCCCCACCCCACTCACACATGCCCTCTCTCTCTTTCTCTCTCTCTCTGTCAAAAAAAACCACAACAGCTAAACTTTAATAATAGTGAACATGGTAACAACCCTGAGTCATTAAGAATAAACTATGTACAGAGGAGGATATAATTTTTAAAAAACTTCCATCAAAAATACTTTTTAGAATTTTAAATGTTTGGTACTTGAAGTGTAAACTTTATGTGGAAAATTCACTTTAGGTTGTGAGAAAGCATTAATGCACATCTCTGAGTTATTTTTTATTCAAGTATGTTTAATGTGACTGGCTGACAGTAATGGTAACTGATAACTTTGTAGGTTTTCCTTTGTACTAATCCTAAGTGGAAGAGAGGGCACCTCTGTTAAGACCAAAAATAGTTAAGTGTTCTGGCCAAGGTTACACAACTAGTAAGTGGCAGAACACTCACTACTGTCTTACAGTACTGTATCCTGTTACACATATTATGCTGTTGGTACCACCTGACAGACATAGCAACAAGGGGGATGAGGAAGGCAGGAGGCCAGTGTAGGCTGTCTAAGGTAAGCTTTCCTGGAAAGGCACCTCATGGCTGGGAGATAAAGTCAGACTTTGAAGGAAAAGGAGAATTAGCTGGAAGATACTATCAAGTAACATCTGTATAACACATGTTTACTAAGCTGCCTTCAGTGCCCCGACGGTTTCATAGTCAGATAATAGTCTCCTTAGGGAGACTCAGGAAGAGAGAGAGAGATTGACAAGTTGTATAAAACTCCAGAAAACTGGATGGGGTCCCTGAGTGTCTCAGTCGGTTAAGCCTCTGCCTTCAGCTCTGGTCCATGATCTTGGGGTCTTGGGATCGAGCCCTGGGTCAGGCTCCCTACTCAGTAAGGAACCCGCTTTTCCCTCTCCCTCTGTCCTTCCCCCTGGCTTGGGCTTGCTTGCTCTCTCTCTCAAATGAATCATCTAAAAAACAACAAACCAAAAAACCCCCAGAAAATTGGAGCTCTCCAACTGCTTGAATTTAGTAAAACCAAGACATCCAGAAACACCAAGCAGTCCTTGACAACCCTCAGCTGTCTGAGTGGGACTTGCTTTTAGCTTATTTTGAGTCTAGTATCATCCTTGCCCACCACCGCCCACTGTCCAGGTTAAACTTCAGAGTTGTCCTGGATAACTTACGGAAGTGGTTGTCTGATGTAGAATGATGTCTTGTGAAGTACTGTAAAATGCTTGTTGAAGGTCTAGGAGAATGTAGCAGGCGGGGCTTGACTGAGAAGACATCCGGCTGCCTCCTTGCAGTGACAGAACCTTGCAGTTTACAGTGGGATTTCCGGTTTCCTTGTTTAGAGCCTAGGAAATCAGCAATTGCTTGTAACTCCATCTGTCATTGTGTCTGAAATGTGAAATTACCGATCTTAATTCTCATTGCCCCAGGAAGGGGGCAGAAGAATTCCTGTATTACTGTTTGCAGAATTGTAAGTCCAGCCAATTAGTCATGCTGAGAAACCATGTTAAAACTACAATTTCTCTAAGTCCAAAAGTTTGTGATGTAGTGCATCTGAATTTTTGTCAGTGTGGTGGACTTATAAATCAATGACTTTTTAATAACAGGAATACCCAGGCCTAAAACGAAAGTATATGTTAACTGACTAGAGTTAATAATGTAGCCAAAATTTTATTTTCGGAAAAATTCTTATCAATGATATTTCTTCTCTATAAGATAAAAATTATTATGAATGGTCACTTAAAAAGTATGAAGGATGTTACTAAAATTTGGGAATATATCAGGGCTGCCCTTATATTTTAATTAGGTAAATACTCACTTATTAAATGAAATTTATATGGGCGCTTAGAAACAGTTTTAGAGTGTCTGTTCATTCTCTTTATAGCATGAGTAAAATCTGGTGAATTTCATAATGTAAAAATGTTCTTCGGAAAATGACCGTACTAATTTCTCCTTTCTCTTTGTCCGTCTAGTGAGAACTCAGCAGAGGCGATAGCAGTAGATTCTAACAATCAGTCGAAGTCCCCACTGGAGAAGTTTATGGTCAAACTGTGCACTCATCACCAGAAGCAGTTCATCCGCGTCCTGAACGATCTGTACACTGAATCCCAGCCGGGCACGGAGGACCTGCGGCTTGATTCTGGAGCGATGGATGCATCCACTTGCAATGCTGGCTGTGCCCAGCTAGGCGCCAGACATAAGGAAAAAGATGCTGTGTGTCTCGATATGAAGTCTCCTCCTTCTGTAGATTTGTTCGTAGACTCATCAGACCCACACAGCCCTCCACACTTGACAGAACAGGCCCTGAAGGAGCCTCCTCCTGAGATAAACTCTGCAGATGGAAGGGAGAATGCCATGACTATTATCCAGAAAGCTTCCTCTGAACATCCAACCACTAAACCTAATTCTGGTAGTTCAACGGATAGTTCCACTCTGGGATACCTCACTGCATCTAATTCTTCCTCATTAAGCTTCCACCACACCTCTAAGAGCTTGGAGGGGCAAACCACTGGACAGGAGCAAGACACAAATGTGAAAATATGTGAGGATGGGAAAGACCATATGCAGAGCTCAGCTTTAGTAGAAAGTCTGATTGCAGTGAAAGTGGCACCTGAGAATAGTGAGGAGAGCAACAGCTGTATTGTTTCTCAAAGAAATTCATTCAAAGCTTTATCAGAAGAGGCTTGGGACTCAGGGTTTACTGGGAATTCACCTAGAACTGCTGACAAAGAGAATGCTTTACTCTGTAGCTCAAAAACACCTCTGCGCCAGGAATTAGAGTCCAGTGAACAAGATTCAAGGCCAAAGCAAGAGAACCATCTTCACTCACTAGGAAGAAATAAGGTGAGTTATCACTTACATCCCAGCGATAAGGGTCAGTTCGATCATTCCAAAGATGGTTGGTTAGCCTCCAGCCCCATGCCAGCTGTCCACAAAGCATCTAATGGACATTCGCGAACCAAGATGATATCAACCTCCATTAAGACAGCTCGGAAGAGTAAGAGGGCATCAGGGCTGAGGATAAACGATTATGATAACCAGTGTGATGTCGTTTATATCAGTCAGCCAATAACAGAGTGCCACTTGGAGAATCAAAGATCAATATTATCTTCTCGGAAAACAGCCAGGAAGAGTACTCGAGGATACTTCTTCAATGGTGATTGTTGTGAGCTGCCAACTGTTCGCACGCTGGCCAGAAATTTACACTCTCAAGAGAAAGCGAGCTGTTCAACAGTGGAGCCAGAGGCAGTGGTCACTGCCAAGCAGACCCTCATACTTTCCCCCCCTGGACCTGCTGTGGATGTGCAGTGTCCCAGAGAAGACGACCATGAAGAACCTAGTAAAGAAATAACCTCCCTCAAGGAAGGAGAAAGAGAAGCTTCCTCTGAAAAGGAATCTCAGGAGCCTGAGGTTTGCCCCATGACAAATAAACCAAATCCGAGCAGCTCTCCCAGGTCAGAGGAAACGACAGCCTCCAGCTTGGTGTCGCCTCTCCCTCACCTTCCCGAAGAGGACACGCCAGAAGGCAGCTCCATGGTCTCAACTCCCACAGCAAGTGGGGTGGCTTTCCCGGAACAAGATCAACAACCAGTCCAACTGCTGGATATCAAGGAGGGGACTGTCATCCAAGACGGTCACCTGGTTTCCTCTGCTGAGAGCATTTCTGAGGGAGGCAGTGACGATGTGGTTTCTAGGCCTCATTCTTCTCCTGAAACAGTCAGCAGAGAGGAAGGTCCTCTGGGCTCAGAAAGTCAGAGTCCGCCCGTGGGTTTGGAGCCTCCCCTGAGCCTGGGAAAAGCTGAAGACAACCAAAGCATCAGTACTGAGGCCAAGACTGAAGAAGACACTCAGGAGCTGGATACCTGCCCACCCTTGAAGGAAAGCAGCACTTTTACTAATGAAAACCCCGGAGAAATTGAGGACAGTGAGGCAGCAGGTGGTACAGGAAAATCAGAGGGACAGAGCAGTGATGTAAAACTTTGTTCAGAAAAAGATACATGCGATCAAAACATTGATTCACCTGAAGAGAATGTGGACAAGAAGAAAAAAAGTAAAAAACTCCCTGAGGCCTCTGACAGGTGCCTAAGGAGTCAGCTTTCAGATCCTTCGTCTGCCGATAGGTGCCTGAGAAGTCAAAGTTCAGATTCTTCCTCTGCTTGTCCTGAGATCAAGATTTCTAAAAATCCTGGTATGAAACGTTCTAAAAAAGAAGGGTGCCCTGGGGAGACAGCATCTGAGGGCCTTCTGGCTGACGGCTTCCATACAAAAGGTCTGGAGGACACTGAAAACCCAGGTGTTGATGAAAATCTCTCTGAGAAAGACACTGAGCAGGAGGGCGAAGGAGGTGGGATCATCACCAGGCAGACTTTTAAAAACATGCTGGCAAAAGAAGTCAAGGGGGAAGAAGGAGATATTTTCCCCAGCAATGATCCCATAACCACAGTGGGACAGCCCCTGCCTGGAGAGAGACTGGAAATCTATGTTCAGTCTAAGTTAGGGGAGAAAAATGCTCATGACCCCTCAGAAAGTATTCCTTGTACTTTCCCAGAACAATCAAAAGAGAAGCCAGAACGAATTCCCACACAAGATCTGGAGGAGGTTGTGAATGAGGTCGGCACTGAAAACACCCAGTGTAAAGATGGTGAAAGTGACCTGCCGTCCAGTGCACTGGGCTTGTCAAGTAGTGGAAGTGGTGATGCTGCTGGGCCCCCAAAATGGGTACCGAGGCTTACAAGACTGACCTCTTCAACCTACAACCTAAGACATGCTCATTCTCTGGACTCCTCAGACACTGCAAGAGTGACTTCAGAAAAGGAAGCAGCACAAGCAAACCCAATGCCAAAGGAAGATGAAGCTTCGGAGAGTGGAGATCCCTTAGAAGAGGAGGATGTGGACCCCGTGGTGGACGACCAGCCAAAGTTTGTGGAATGGTGTGCAGAGGAGGAGAACCAAGAGCTTATTGCCAACTTCAATGCCCAGTACATGAGAGTTCAGAAAGGCTGGATCCAGTTGGAGAAAGAAGCCCAGCCAACACCAAGATCAAGGAACAAGTCAGATAAACTGAAGGAGATTTGGAAAAGCAAGAAAAGGTCACGGAAATGTAGAGGTTCATTGGAGGTTCAAAAGTTTTCTCCTGTTCAGATGCTGTTTATGACAAACTTTAAATTATCTAATGTTTGCAAATGGTTCTTAGAGACTACTGAAACCCGGTCACTGGTGATCGTGAAGAAGCTCAACACTCGTCTTCCGGGAGACATCCCCCCCGTCAAGCATCCTCTTCAGAAGTACTCTCCTTCCAGCTTGTACCCCAGTTCACTACAGGCTGAGCGCTTGAAAAAGCACTTGAAGAAATTTCCTGGAGCTACTCCTGCTAGGAACAATTGGAAAACACAGAAGCTCTGGGCCAAATTTCGAGAAAATCTTGACCAGGTGGAGCCGGAGGACACCAGTGACGTCAGCCTCGGTCCCAGTTCTGAAGACAGCGTAGAGGAAGTCAAGGAAGGACGAAGTAGCCATCCTCCCACAAACTCACCTACCCCAGCCAGTACCCGGATCCTCAGAAAATATTCCAATATTCGAGGAAAGCTGAGAGCCCAGCAATGTTTGATCAAGAATGAGAACACGGAAAGCCCGTTTGGGCAGGCTGTGGAAAGTAAACAGAGTTGTAAGAGCGTATGCATCAACCCTCTGATGTCCCCCAAGCTTGCCCTGCAGGTGGATGCAGATGGGTTTCCTCTTAAGCCCAAGAGCACTGACGGAACGAAGGGAAGGAAAGGGAAGCAGGTGGCTGAAGTCTTGCCGAAAGCAGAAGTGCAGAATAAACGCAAGAGGACAGAAGGCGGCAGCACTCAGGACAGGAAGGACAAGGGACCGGTGGTGAAAGCCAGCAAAGACAAGCGTCCTGATGGAACCGCCAAAACCCCTGCTGCTAAGAAGCCAGCTGCCAGGGACAGGATCAGCCAGCTGCCCAGAAAGACGTCCTTAAAAGAGAATAAAGTGAAGATCCCTAAAAAGTCTCCCGGGAAGAACTGCCCTCCCTCTAGAAGGGAAAAAGAGAATACAAACAAAAGACCCACACAGCCCCCTGCCTCGGAGGCAGGGACGAAACCTGCAAAGCAAAAGGGGGCAGGTGAGTCCTCTTCAAGGCCACAGAAAGCCACCAACAGGAAGCAGAGCAGTGGAAAGACTCGGGCCAGACCCTTGACAAAAACCCCGGAGAGCAGTGCGGCCCAGAGAAAGCGAAAACTAAAGGCAAAGCTGGACTCTTCTCACAGCAAACGGAGACGGCTGGATGCAAAGTGATCAGAAGGCTGGCAGCCACGAGTTAAAACTGTCCTGCAGAAGTAACCCTGCATTGTGCATTAACTAACTCTGCTTTTATAAGCTTATCCAGCCTTTCAAAGCTGCAGGTAACGGAGAACACCACAACTGAAGATGCCAGAAAATGCATCTCAGGTGGAGAAGGGAACTTGCAGAGTCTTTCTCTGAGGCTGAGTAAGGGAAGTTATATATTATATTCTGGTTGTTCCTTGGGTTTTAAACTTGGAACCAAGCAGTTTTAGTTTTTAAAAGTACAGTGCCTTATTTATCCTTTTTGTTTTTAAATTTACGAAAGCTAAAAAGCTGATCTATGTGATAAAGGCTTGTATTTTATACTTGATGCACAAGCACTTGTAGCCGAGAAGATCACCATCATGCACAGAAAAGTAGCTTTTCAGCAGCCGCCCTGCAGCGTCTGTCCATGAGCAGACGCTCCTCTTTGCAAACCCAAGCAGTGAACTTCCCTCTCTGTCTTGTTTGTTTGTTTAAATGATATTCGAAAGCTAAACCAAATCATTTTTATGGTATGTGGAGATTGCAGAGGGAATTTATAATTATTATGAAAGACGAGTATTTCTGTTACTCCTTTTTAAAAAAATCAGATTCATTGTTAGTCACTCCTCCCACTTTTGACTTTATGTCATTTAAAAAAATGTATTCTAAATGATGCACCCATGGGACAAAAGATGGGTCACAAGGTGTTACTATTGGGTTAGGACCTCTAAAAATTATTTACATCCCCCAGGTGATTCACATAACTGATTCTTACCATCCCTTTCATTTTTGGCCTTGCAAGCTTGCTGGCATTCGAATAAGGCTTTCACCTGACTTCGGGGGGAGGTGGGGAATGTAGGATTTTTTTTTTTTCATCCTGTAACTGTAACTTGACAATTAGGATGAGAGTGACTGTTCTAATCTTCTTTCTTACCCTGAATATTTCCATATTCGAAGAAAGCCAAGTTGTTATTTCCAGTAATAGAAAAGTTTAGGAGTTTGTGTGTGCATGTACATTTGGGTGCATTTGCCTGTGCTTATCAGCCACAGATGTCTCCCAGCCCCAGTACAGTAAAATTCTTTCTTCCCCATGCATTGTGCTAGGGTGTTCATGAGCTGCATAAGTAGCACAGGCCAGATGGTTCAAATGTGGCCCAGGGTCTCTACATGAGTATCCGCAAAACCAGTTTGGCGCCAGACTCAGAGAGGTCTAAACAGCGCAGAGTCACGTGAAGGTCAGAGCAACCTTGCAGTTGGAGGAAGCAGCTCAGCATCTTGTAGCGGGGCCCACGTCCCTCCTCCCACCTGGAGCTGATGTTCAGTTGGCTTGTCCCAATGTGAATGTACGTGTTTCGAGTGGGTGTCAGCGTTCTGACTGATGAGCACTGTACTGGTACTTAACGCTTGGAGTATCACTCTTGCCTCTCTCACGGCAGGTTCTGTTTCTTGGCTCAAAGGTGAGAGCTGCAGTGTTTGTAACTAATGTTGTTTGCCTTTCCCGAATGACGCCTGAGGTGGTTGCATTGGTTTTACCTTGGTGCCTGTAACTTTGCTCCATTACAACGCAGTGTGTACTCAGCATTTCCACTGGTCCACTCTGCAAAGCAGGCTTGGTTGTGAGAGCTCCTCTGCTCTGTGCTCTGTCACAGAAGTAGGCTTGTATGGACAGGGGCTCCTCTTTTTTACTAAAACGTTTCCATTTAGATTGTTCAGATCTGTTTAGGTAAACCCAGATGGACTTTTTTCATGCATAGTTCCATCAAATCATGATAAAACAGGGCTTCTACCATTCTGTTAAAGGTTTGCTGTATATAATGAGAACTTCTGCTGACTGGATAGGACTGGAGAGAAAGTTCGATTCATGGGAAATTGAGAATTGTGTTGAATTTCATAGACTATCTTCAATGAAGCCTTGACTTTCTTTCCCTTTATGTCTCCTCTATCCCATGAGTCTCTTTTTTTTTTTTTCGTTTTAATATCTTTGACTTTGGCCATTCAAGAGCTACCTATATGAATGAAACTGCTGAGTGTGTATTTTGGGCAGCCCTTTCTCAGCATTAAATTGCACAGAAGCATTAGTATGTTTTGAGTAGGTTTGGTTAATCTTTGAAAGTGGTTTTGAAGTTTTTAAAAAATATTCTCATATAGTCGTCACTGGATCCTGTTTTTGTGGTGACTTAAACAGCTGAGGTTTGCTGAGGCCACATGTGCTGACTCCAGGTGCCCCCTTAGCGGCACGCAGATGCCTTGTAGTGCTGCTTGGGTGAGGTTAGGGAGAGGTGTGAGGCAGTGAGCAGGGGCAACCCGTCCAGTTCCAGGCTTATAATGCATTCCATTACCTTCCTAAGTTCTTTTTCATTTTAAAAAGCGTGCTTCAAGGTAATAGCCTTTCCTGTCATTTTAGGCCGCAGCTGAGAAAAGGTATCTGTGTGGATATGCATTTTTTTATATATACATACACTGCAGTGGTCATCCTTAAAATCAACTTAACATTTTATAGTAGTAACAACACTTCAATAGACTGAGATTCTACATAATTAGAACACTTAAAAGTTTAGAGGTATTTTTATATTTGTTGAATCTCATTTTTGCTGATTCAGTTAATTTTGCTAATAGAAGAAGCGGGGGGGAAATGAACTTGAGGGCTGGCTCTGAAATGCCCTTTTACACTTACAGCCAATGCTGTCTAGCCGCTCCTATACACCTCCAAGCCAGACCTGCAGCTGACTCAAGTCTTCCCTGGTTTTCCCTGTCTTGCAAAGACGTCCTCTTTATAGCTGTTGTCACAGTATGGCTGGCCGCCAGATGCAAAGGCAGTCTGTCCCACATTCCAGATTCCAAATCACGAAAGGATTCTTCTCCTGGGGCTAGCACCATGACTGACCCAGCACCAGAGCTGAAGTTGCTTATCAGAGAACACTGGTATTACCTCTGAGCTTCTGGGAGAGCTCCAGGGAAGCAGTCTCGGAAGCTCTACCTTAGCTCCCCAGAGCTGGCTCTCTTTGGGAGACCCCATCTTCTGGCTCCCACTTCCTGGCCTCTAAGGCTCCCTGGGTTTGGGAGGACAACATGCAGACCCTCCCTAGTCAGGGCCCAGAGCCTCACCACAGCACTCCCTCAGACCCCAAACAAGCTACAGCACACAGGGAGGCAGCCACCCTTTATTCTGCTCTTAAGGCTTCCTGCACAGGAATGTCACTGCTGTCAGTCTGCAGTTGCTAGATCCTTGGGTCCCATAGGTAGGCCAGTTCTGTCACATGTGTATTTCAGTAAAGATGTCTACACAAGCCTTCTCTGAAAACAATAAAAATCTTGGGCTGTGGGTTTGGTTCTTGTGGTAGTATGGATAGGAGAGGTGCATGTCGCATCCCTTCACAGATGTGGTGCTCCTGACGGGCTCCTCTGTGCGCTTCTCACTGTTCATGTAGGATATCAGTGGAACATGTCACTTCAAGACAGTTGCTTTGAACTGAAGTTTGGTCTCTTTCCTGCCTTGTGATGGGTTGTGTAGTAAGGGCTGTAGCTGTTACTTTCCTCTCTGGGCGGCGTCTTGCTGATTGAAGGACCTGAGAGCTGAGTAGGAAAGGACAGCATGCGACACAATGCAGACATCACCATCCGTGAGTCTGGTGGCTTGTCACCACACCTGGGACTGTCTTGGAATTTCCCAGGGTGCTGGGTCCAGGAGCCACCCCCGTTCCTTTTGGTTTCCTGTCAGGCCACACAAGCCATCTTTTTTACAGACACCCTATCAAGGGTCTGTAGAATATGGGCTGGTCGCTCTTTTGTAAATAAAAGTTTATTGGAACATAGCCATGCCCGTTTGTTTATGTATCTTTCATAGCTGCTTTCCAGCACAGCAGAGTATCTACAACAGAGACCATATGGTCTGCAAAGCTGGAAAGATTTACTGTCTGGGCTTTTCAGAAAAAATTTGCCAACCCTCCTTGCTTAAGAAAATAATCCTTTTTCAAGAACAAACTTTGCATGGTTGATCTTGGTTTTGCCTCCCCGTCCTTCTTTTCTTTTCTTCTTTCTCCTCCTTATCTTCCCTCAGTTTTGTTCTTCCTTTTAGATTTCTTTCTTTCTCCTTGCTGCAGAAGAGACACGGTGTGTTGTTACAGCACACTGAATACGTCTCCTAACACTTGAGCTACCGCAGCCTCCCATCTGCCTTCTCCAAGCCGCCCACAGTGAGGCCTCCGGCAGCCTCCAGAGTCAGGCCCCACAGGCAAGGAGGGCTTCAGAGTTCTTCGTGCAGCCCAGGCCTCTCATTTCACTCGGTCCTTATCTTAGACCTGACTCTGGCTTCACATCTTGAGTGTTACTCAGACAAGCCAAGATTTGGGTTTTGTTTGTTTGTTTTCAAAATTGAGAATACTTCAATTAGAGGCTCAGTTTTCTGAGCCCCATGTTTAGGGAAAATACGGAAAAAGCCTTTTCACAGAAGGAAAACAAAGTGCAGTCACTAACCCAAAGTATTCATTATGTAATGTTTTTGACCAACTTCTAGGAAAATAAAAATGTATCAGTACTGATATTTTTTCAGTCACATACTCTCCTTTCAAAATAACTTCATTAAAGGCAAGCCAACAAATAAAAAAATAGGGGCTTGCTTGAACATGCTCTTAGGAAAGAATAGGAAATTGGAGCACATTAGAACCTGAGTATGACTGCAAAGTTGTCCATTGTGTCTTTGGATCAAATCCAGTCAGCCTCCAAGCTGTTGGTCTTTCCTTTCCCCAACAAGTCAAGGATAAGCTTCTATACTGTTCTGCAAATGAAGTTGAATGCCGTGTTAGTGAAAAAATTTCTGTCAGTGGCTCCAGAACAATGATGATTTCAATTATTTTGAAATAGTTAGTTATTATTTTGACTTCTCAGCTATTAATTTTTGTTTTCTTATGGCTTGATGTCCACTGAAATGCTGGAATTTTTTCCTACAAGTTTGAAATCGTGTCTATGTATATCTCATTGGGAAGGCAGTCCTCACATCCCCAGCAGTAAGCATTCTTCCCCCGGCTTGCTCCCACATCCTTTTTCAGGGAAGAAATGAAAATTTAAAAAAGTATTATATTTAAAACAAGCAGAATTGTGGAAAGCCTTTTGAGGTAACCTTCAATACAGTTCATCCCTTGACATGTCAGAACAAACTGCTGTTCTACAGTGGACAGAGTGGAAGACTTGAAGGCCTGACCTCTCTCCTTTAACGATATTAAGTCATCCTCAGGCAGAAACCCAGAGCTCTCTGATGCTGCTTCCGACTTCAGGCTTTGCCATGTTGTGCCGGGGGACCCAGAGGACCACCCGGAGCACTTCTGCAGACAGTATGCTTGCTCATGCCTTTGCTCTTGGAATTGAGGCAGCGCTGGTCAGTCCCTTCCATTACCTCCCATCTGCCTGATCTTCCCTTTCCCAGAGCACTGGTGGTGTACTGCTCGGTGCTCAGGAGACATCCTCAACTTCGGTGTTCAGCGGGGCAGCTGTGTGGTTATGCCCACCTGGCAAGCACAGCGACGCACAGAGGCTTTCTCCCCTGCCTGAGACCAGTCCACATCACACAAGGTACTCAGCAGTAGGCAAGGTACGTGAAAGAACAGGTTGCCCACGAAACAGCCAGCAACAGCAGCAAAAAACAGGTGCTTGAGGTTTTATAATATACCAGAGGTTGGAGGAATGCATTTTACCTTTTTTTTTTAAAAAGGATTGTATTAAAAGAAAATAAATTACCGGGACCTACTGTGTAGCTGACACAGCCTAAAATAGAAAATATCCACCACCTGGCTATTTACAAAAGAGGTTTCCTGGCCCTTGTAGTGTGTCATTCGAGGTCAGTTGTGCAGTTAGGCACAAACGTTTTTCCTGCATTCCAGCCTCGCACCGTCTCTGTCCTTTCAGACGGGAGGGCATCTTGCCACGCTGTCTCAGCACACAGCTGTTGTTGCACGTTACTTCTGAGTAATGCTTGTGCACAAAAGAAAAAGAAAATATTCCCCTTCGTTGATTGAATATTTGTTGAATCATGATCTCATCTAGTAGGTTAAGTAGTTAAAACTAGAAGTACAACGTCTTTTAAGTCTTCCTCTGTGGCAAACAAATTTAGTAATGGACCTGAAGCCGAAATAGTGCCTCTCCTGGCCAGCCCTAGTGGGCTCCTTTCAGCCCCTAGCGCTCTCCTTTTCTTTTCCATGTATAGTATATTTGCAAGCTCGCTCCCCAAGCTTTGGTCACCATTTGCGAATATAACTGGCCAGGCTGGGCCTGTTTGAACCTCAAATCCAGCCTAGCCGTTCTCAGCTCTCCTAGAAACACCAGCATGTTGATGGCCCTGGTTGGCACACCAGCAGCTGTAGCTTGAAGCAGCTCAGAGCTCTCCGGTCTGGCTCGGCTCGTTTGGGGGAGCCGTCCTAGACACCTCACCTCTTCCCTCTTCTGCTTAGGCCACCCCGCCCCCTTCCAGGAGGTGTCTTCTCGGAGATGGTCTCCCATCTCCTGAGCACGTCATTGACCACAGACGTGTCATACTAGAAGCGTCTTTCTCTCTGTAACTCTTTATTTTCCTTCTAGAATTTAGCCATTGGGTCCGGATGCTCTTCAGTTTATCAGCTTTTTCAGCCCACTTGTTTTCTACAATCTGCACTTCATGCTTCTTGCTGCTGAAGCTGTATGTAGTATTTGGGAGGTCGTGTGTGGGAAAGATGCTCTACAGACAAGATCCACATAATTTTGTATATTTATACCACAGATAGGGATTCGTTTAGAGCCGTTTCACCAGTGTTCTAGGAGACTGTGATATGGACTACGGTTTCAAATACGTTATATAATACATAGTTATACACACCACCGTGGAATTTATTTCACTGTGTAAATAGTGATATTTTCCTGTTCAAATGCTTCTATAGAAAATATTTATTTTAACAACAAAAAATTAACTGTCAAAAGGGCTTTCCAAAAAAGTGTTCTTTCTAGCCTCTCATCTTCCCCAATTACCATGCTCATCCATTAAACCCCCAAACAACAGCGTGAAGGCAGAGGGTGCAGCCTTGAAACCTTCCCTCTGTTTGGGCATATGCAATGTGGATTGGGAACCTGAGTGCTTCCCCCCACTGTCATCCCATCCCAGAACAAAGTGGGTCTCCCACCACCGGTATGGCTGTGCCAGGCACGGCACCAGGGCTCGCCTCAAGCAGCCCACGTTTTGCATACACAGTTAATATCTTCCGACTGTCCAACAGCCTGTAGAGGGAAATGAGCCTTAGTTGTAACCCCAAGGAAATCCAAACCCATACCTGTGGGATATGGAGAAACCACTGGCTGCCTAAAGAAAGCATTAAGATAGGTTTTAGTCTTTCTCATGTTTGTGAAAGACACACACCTATTCACATTCATTAACCATGGGAGATAAGCGTGTTTCCTTCTGCACCTTGGCAGCACTCACGGGCACCTCAACTCTCCTCCTCCTCGTCCTCCTCCCTGTCTCAGCAAGCATCTGTGCAGACGTGGGCCAGTCCCACCCGTAACCCGTGGTTACAGAAGGAAACCGTCTGTTCTAAGATGTGTGCAGCTTTTACTTCTCAGGAGTCTTGGTCTGCGATTCACAGCACCCCTAGATGTAAAGGAACTGATGGCTTTATGATCATGTTCCTCTTCCCTGTGCCCCATTCCTGGGCACCTCTGTCTGAGTCATGATTCTCGTTCCGCCCAGCGGCTAGACTGGGAACCGAGGCTCTGGGACCGCAGGGTGCTTGGGACTGGACACACGGGGGGTTTTGTCCTCCAATTGAATTGTAATTTGCATGTTTTCTAATGGCCTCTCTTTTTTCTAACAAATGAGGAGGACACTTGAACAGTAATGCTGGAGAATGTTTTTTCTAAGTTACTATTTGTAAGCAAATCTGATTTTAAGATGAAATGTGAAAGGGTAACCAGGTGCCAGGGAATTTAGCACTGAACTAAACAGTCAACACTTTTTTAACCTTTGCAGGAGGAAATAGATTTTGCTCTCATCTAATGTTCACAAGAAGTAATGTTGTAAATAGTTTTTTAAAAATATTTATTACGTGTGCTGTATACAGATTCACGTTCTGAGTGGTGTTGGTCTGCACTGTAGTATTGTAGAAGGATATATTTTGAGCAGTGGACTTACTTTCATAACACAGTTCACACATGGAGAAAGAACAGAACCAGCAGGTTGAGAGCTGTTTGGGGCATTTGATCTGTAATGCTACATCAGTCCAAGCTTTAACTGCCCCCTCTTCTCTTCTGGTTATGTTATATGTTATATATATTATACACACATATTGTTATATATATTATACATACATATATGTATACATGTATGTATACATATATGTATGTATAATATATATGATAAACTGGTCAGTTCCCAAATCTGCAGAGCAGATTTCCAGGTGTTCTTTCTGATGTGTTGCACATAAGCAATAAGATCCTAGGAAATAACATTTATTCTGGGCTCTGTGTTGGCCCTTGTCTCAGAGGATAGGGTGGGGGTAGAACAGCTCTTGCTAAGACCTCTTGCCTTTGCCGGAGAGGTGGCTATACTTGAATTATTGCTTCTGTTTGTCTGCACGCTTCTTCATGTCATACAACTCTAGCAATGGATGAGAAATCTGCCAGCACCAGACACATCAAAATTTGGGCATGGAGGTTGAAAAATGGTCATTTTTCCATGAATTTGTAGGGCTTCTTGAATCTAGTTGAGGCAAAGCTCATTTGGCTGTAAACATAAGAATTTTTTATGTTAGGAATTTAAATTGCCAGCTAAAAGTCCTTTGAGTCTATCTGCCCTGCCTTTGAAGACTAAGCCCATTTCCTGGGGTCCTCCTCTGTGCCTGGGTTTGAAATGTCTGGGGTAAAAACTCTTTAGAGCTGAGCGAGGCAGGCAGTCCCTCTTCCGTGGCTTCCAGCGTGTCCAGTTCCACAGCTTTCTGAGCTGTTGAGCAGCCTCTCCTGTGACCGTCCTAAACTTTATGAAAAATACCCCACACCCCAATAACCATGAATAGAATAATGTAGTTTTTTAGGCTTTTGGGATATGTCTTCTCTTTTGTATTTATGATGGTGTTTGGAATTTTTCACTAGTGTTTTTTTAGATTGAAGTGGGTGCGTTAGGATAAAACTTTCCATTGCTGAGCCTGAAAGCAAGCAAGAGGAAAGAAACTGACCTATATTGTGTCATTGGGAAGGTGACTACTCGTGGTGGTGGGAGGGCAGGGAGGGGGCATTGTAGATTATGTGGGAGTAAAATAGAACTATGGCCTGAGGCTCCCCAAGTATTATTACCTTGTAATAAATAATCCCCTTATTAGCCTCACTTAATCTCAATAGAAGCCTGCTGTTTACCCTCAGGGAACAAGTAGTTTTCAAAATTGAGCTCCTCCAAGGTCACTGGCCAGTGCCTGTGTGGAGGCACTGGTCGTCTTTGTGAACTCATGGCATTATTTTCCCGTATGCATTATGATACTAAGAAATTCAACCCCAACCTGTATGAAAAGCACAGCCCAGGGTCCTACTTCAGGCTAGAGTCAATGCCTTTCAGGGGCCAGGGGGGCATAGGAGGCCCATGCAATTTAACTGAAGCTCAGGTGCCGTGTTGGGTTTTTATTCTTTTTAGGCCACGACCCTTCAGAATGAGATTAGGGCAGGGGCTGCTGATCCGGCTGTGGATCCAGGGAGCTCTAAGATGAATCTCTACCGTTCCTTTAAGGTCTTTCTGGTTCCTCCCAGTGTTGTCATTGCCGAGGTCAATCTTGTAGTTGTTCAGATGTGCTCCTTTTTGCTGTCTTGTGAGTCTTAGCCAGTGATCCAGATGCCCAAGGAGAGAGTCTCCAGAGGGCCTAGCCCCTGTCCAGTACCAAGCGTGTGCTCCTAACCTATGCGAGGGTGGTCTTTCCAAGAGCAGTGAATTGAGAAATTCTGCAGATGGTAATCTGGATGATCAGCGTGTATCTCTTGGGCCTGGATTTCCATGATGTTAGTGAGTGTAGGAAAATACTGTGTCTTTAATGGATGAAAATTCAATGTATGCTGTGAATTTGTTGGTTTGAAACATTGAAAAATTTTCATTAGACAATGTTTACATACCTCACCTGAAGAACCTTTGAGAGTGTATATATGAAATTTAAAAATATATTAAGTTGCTTTAAAACAATATGTATAGCTATAAAAGTTGGAGTTATTTTAACTTTGAATATGTACCACGTCTCTTAAATATTGGAATCTGTGGATTTTTTGTGCTTCTGTGTTTTACTTTCCTATTAGGCCATATAGGAAACTGTGTTCTTGTTACTGGTAAAGGGGCCCTCACTGAAATCCAAGCTTGGAAGGATTTCCTTTGTTGTTTCAGATTTTCTTGTCTGGGTTTGAGGGATGGGGTATGGAACTAGAGGATGTGTGGGAGGGATTTCTCTAACATTGACATCTATTCCATGAGCTTTTTCTAGGCGCTTATTTTATTGCAGCGTATTAAACTTCTTTGATATTAAAGTGTGTTTGTGTAGTTACTGGAGAGGGAGCAGAACACATGGAAGCCCGGTATTCCACTTGCAGCCTCTGGCGAAGTTGAGAAGTTGCCAGAAGGAACAAAAAACAGTACTTCTTTGTACTTTTGCCTCAACCGCGGTGTCGGGACTTAACGGAGCACTGTTTGGTAGATCTGTGGCCATTTTGTGAGGTATGCCTAACTTCAGGGGCAAGAGAACACCATGGACGAATCCTTGGGAATTCCCACCGCAGACTTGGAAAGGCACCCGTGCTTCATCCTAGGGGCAGGGAGCAGCTGAACCAGGTAAGCCACTGTTAAATTTGGGGGTGATCCGTACAGCCCCTCAGGAGGGCTGCCCCCATTCCCTAGAGTCCATGTTGGGGGCTGGCAGAAAGCTGGCAGGAAATTCTTGCATTTCCTAGCCTTGTGACCTGTTCCACTGTATTCTTTCAGTTCTGCTTGAGCGGGGTCCGTGTAAGCATCCAGGGGGCCATTGATTCCTGTGGAATCAGCCATGATTTCATTAATAAGTTAGAGGACGGTGGCCACTGACACCCAGAACTATATCCAGTAAACATAACCCTGCAGCTGACAATCGGGCTACCTCCCAATCTGGATTAGGAGAGACATCTTGTTCCATGTTAGGACTTTTCATTGTTAAAAGAGACTTCTTTTCCTCCCATACTGATCCTACGGTAGAATAACTAGACTGTATCTCAGAGGTGCACACTGACTGGCTGGGGGTGAGGGACCATCTGGAGAATTCTCTCTTGAGAGCACAGGGCATTGGGACAATAGGGATGCATTAGCGCCGATCTCAGGAAAACTAGGCAACGCTAGTTGGAAGCATGGTCATTCATTCTTTCTGTTGCTTCCACTCCCCAGCCAAGCCCTGCTATGCCCATTTCCTTGGCTGGGGATTTCCTTTGAACTGATAAATTTGCTCCTTACTTCACTTTAACTCAGAGGTTGTAAACTGGTGGCTCACAGATGTGTTTTATTTAGCCTAGTGTTTAAAAAATTATACACTATGAGTGTTGACATAAAATTTTGGTTTCTGGCTTCTCTTTTAGAAAATGATAGTGAAGATCTGGTAAAGTTAGTGCATGGTAAGAATCTGCTGGAGCTCAGTAGATTGGGAAGTGTGCCTTTAAGGTCACCACAGTCCCTTTTTTCCCTTTTTAACAGTAGGGAAATAGGTCTCTTTATCAGAAGATACAAACAGGGGCACCTGGGTGGCTCAGTGGGTTAAGGCCTCTGCTTTCGGCTCAGGTCATGATCCCAGGGTCCTGGGATCGAGCCTCGCATCGGGCTCTCTGCTCAGCAGGGAGCCTGCTTCCCCCTCTCTCTCTGCCTGCCTCTCTGGCCCAATTCCATTTATAAGAAATGCCTAGAATAAGCAGGTCTGTAGAAACAAAAAAGTAATAAAGTGGTTGCCCAGTGTTGGGCAAATGGGAGAATGGGGAGTAGCTGACTTAATTTATGGGTTTACTTCTGGGGTACAGAAGTGTTCTAAAATTTATTATGGTGATGGTCCCACACCTCTGTGAACCTGCCAAAAAAAACCATTTAATTTTACACTAAAAATGGGTGAATCGTATGGTATGTGCATTATATCTCAGTAAAACCATTAAAAAACAAAACAAATAGGTGTGACTAATTAATGTGAACCAGTTGAAAGTTATCTATATGTTTCAGTGTCCAGGTTGATTAAATTGGTTAAAACTGTTTAATTGAAGAAAAAACAGGTAGCACCTCCTTTACTGAGTGCTCTTAGTTGCTGTGAGTTGATTTAAATAAGACAGTAGCCTGAATGCAACATTAAACATGGTTGAAATGTAGATATTCTGTGCTCGCTTGGGCAGCACATACACTAAAATTGGAACAATACAGAGAAGATTAGCATGCTCCTGTGTACGGGTGACACACAGATTCATGAGGTGTTCCATATTTTTTGATGAGCACCAGGTGGTGTTTGTAAGTGTTGAATCACTAAATTCTACACCTGAAACGAATATTACACTGTATATTAACGAGCAGGAATTTAAATTAAAACTTGGGGGGAAAAATACACATTTTTGTAAACATGTATGTAGAATCACTCACTGGAACTACCCTGTGTACAATTCATCCTTCAACTAACATCTTCTCTAAGATACAAGTGTTCTAAACATTAAAAATAAACATAGATATTCTGCTCAAGGTCTAACTGAACACTGAATGCAGGACTACAGAGTTAAGTACAGTTCATGCCATGTAATGTCTCATTTTAAAAATCACTAAACAATGAAATGGCATTAAAGTGTAATGCAATTGAGGATTTTATTGGACTCTTTAATACCTATTCCTAATACCTTTTAGATGTTAAATCTGTATCAAAATCACATTATTTTGTGATTCATTTTCAAAAGTTAATAAAAAGAGAATGTTGGCAAATAAAACGATAATAAATGTTTTTATAATGATTTATAACAATATTTTCTTTATGTGGCAGACTTAGTATGTCTAATACAGAAATTATGTGGGATGATTTTAGTTTGATTATGCAAGAGTTCTTTATGTGAAACTATTTGTAATGTATAATTGATGCTAAATGTGGTGTCAACACAGTTTGGATGTTGGGGGAATCATAAAAAGCTGGTTTCAAATATCATTGGGTGTATTTGAAATCTTTAAGAAAACTGTGAATTATAATAGTCTTCAATGTCTTGCTTACTACTTACTTTTCATTGTGTCAAGGCATGTCCTTATTTTCTTATTTAGAGTACTTTTAGTTTTCCATGACATA